GTCAGAAGGGAAACTTCAGAAGGTACACATTCGAGTTACTTCCCTGTTTTTTTACTTTGTTTTTCTTTTATAAGTTTTGTGTTCTTAGAGAAGTCATTTGATTTCTCAAATTTTCAATTTACAAAAGGATAATAAAATGTTTGCTTTCCCAAGTCATAGAGTTAGACTAAATGAAATACTGGGAGTGCTTTATGAACTAGAAATTGTTTAACAGAGATTGATTAAAAGAAAAGAAACAAGGTATGTCCACTACTTGAAACAGAAAATTAAAAAAGCTGACCAGCAAAATGTTTCAAGATACTTTCATTCAAACCTTTTACTGTCCTTCTGAACAGAGATGTTGCAAATGTTGGCATATACTAATCATTTTTAGAGTTTCTACTTCTTATTTAGTAATTTTATTTTATTTTATTTTTTGGGACTGGGGATTGAACCCAAGGGTACTTAACCATTGAGCCTTTTTTATTTTTATTTTGAGACAGAGTCTCCCTGAGTTGCTTAGGGCCTTGCTAAGTTGCTGAGGCTGGCTTTGAATTTGCCATCCTCCTGCCTCAACCTCTTGAGTTGCTAGGATTACAGGTGTCCACCATCATCCTGGTTTCTTTAATTTTTTAACATAGTGTGATTTAAGAAAAATCCAACTTTGTAGGGAGAAAGAATCTCCAAATTTTTAGAATGTTTTATTTCTTAATGGCAGCATTTGTATTGGGCATAGAAAGCAGAAACTTGATCAGCGTATATCACTGTTATTTTGATAAACTTGCTACAGTTTATATCATTTTGATAAACTTGTTACAGTTTTTTTTTTTCTTCCCTAAGGAAGTCTACCACTGTCGAAGACAAATAAAATACAGCAAAGACAAGATGTGGTATTTGGCAAAATTGGTAAGCTAAAATAACTATTACTATATAATGCTTAATAACAAAGCCATGAATCCCCCCCATTATTTGAACAATAAATACATACCTGTCCTGATTTTCCCCAACAGTGAGGAATATAGCTGCATAATACATGTTCAGATAATAAGAAGATAATTTAAAAAGTGATAGTTCAGAGAAATATGATTTTTGCATGTTTTAATCTTTTTTCTGATTTAGTTGATTTAGTTTTCAAAGGCACAGGAGCTGGCTGTAACCAGAGCATCCAGGAAGCTTACTTGCTTATCTGTAAAAGTTGATTTGATCCATTTTAATACTGTTGATTTTTAAGTTTTTTTTCCCCCAAGACATGAAATTTATAAATGAGAGAAAAGCAGCAAATGTAGTTGCAATTTATCCTGCAGGTGGAAGAGATGCATTTAATGCTAATTGCAGTTGTTGCCAATTTGTGATCTTTTTGTCATGCCATTCTCTTTTAATGTACTTAAAACTATTACATCCCAGGCCTTACAGTTAAGGTGTTTAAGTTCACTTTTGATTTAAAGATGGGTGGTATCCCTCTTCACACTTGTTTTCTTCTTGTTATGTGGATTTAATTCACTGTTTCTAGAAGTTATTCAGATTATTGTAAGCCTTTCTGCTTTTCACTGAAAAGGGAACATTGATTTTATAAATTAATTTATTTATTCTCTCTCGTCTGTCACCCTTTAATTCTAGATACGAGGAATGTCCATTGACCAAGCTTTGGCTCAGTTGGAATTTAGTGATAAAAAAGGGGCCCAAATAATTAAAGAGGTAAGCTTGTCAGGCTGGTAATGGAGGAGATAAGGACATGCAGCTATCTTTCAGGTGTTAGTAAACTCAGCTCAAGTCCAGAATTCCCTGAATCTTCTGGTGTAAGTATTCACTCTATATAATACAGATTTAGATTTAAACTTAGTTTTATTAATTTTTTCCTCAGGAATGTGGTATGCTTTAAGCATTTTTTTCTTAAAATGCTTTTATTTGCACCATACATTTATTTATTTTTAGTCTATGAAGTGATTACCTTATTTTTAATGATTTGGTGTGATTTTTTTAGAAGATTCTTTTGGGAGAGGGGACCAATTCCAAGACAGAGCCTATGATTTTATAACTAGCTGAATAGAAGGAGCAGTGGAATGGAACTGTGGAGAATTGGAATCTCGTCCTTTCTCTTATATTTTTCCTGTGACCTTGGACAAGACATTTATCCTGTCCAGTTTTGTTTTGCCTGTGTACACTAAGTGGAATTGGATCTGGTGATTTATACGGATCATGCCAACTCCTAGTGTAGCTGATTCACTAGGTACAAATGTGCCAATGGCAGTGAAGCTGACTCATTCTAGGCCCCTTATGTTCCTTTTTCAAAAAGCTGAGTCACCATTATCCCTTATATAGGTATTTCAGCATTATTTTTTTTCTCTTCAATTAATTCGCCTCTAAAGTCAGTTCTTACTTTTCAGGTTGTAGTTGACTAGTTGAGATTGGTGGATTCAGGCCTCCCATATAGAGCTTGGTCTTGCGTGAACCAGTTCAAAATGCATTCGCCAAGTGTCTGTTGCTCAGCATTGGACCTCATTCTTTAAAGGAGTAAAAGATCTAGTTTCTGTTATTTCTGACAAATTGTCCTATTTTTTAAAAATGTGAGGAAGTTAAGTTATTTGAAAATATCTATGGAGCATCAATTTATAATTTTAGCTTTTTTTAAAAAAATAATTTTAGCTTTTTGATTTTGTGAACTGATGTTGTTTATAGTTACTTTGGATCCAAAGTTTAGAATTTTCAATAAGATGTAGCTCTTGAATTTCTTGGACTTTTTGACGAGTTCCTGACTGAAAGGCATCGTGTGCCTTGTCACGAGCACTACTTACAAGCACTGCCGTGTTCCTTTATGGCTTACACATATCACTTAAAATCCAGCAGGATAGACTGCATTCCTGCAATAGCTATTCTTATCTGAGGAGGGAAAGCTCACTGTATCCCTTATCCTTAGTACTTTCATCATTTGATTTTCTCTTTTTAAAACTGACTATAAAATGGAGGCCTGTGATTAGCAGTCACATTAACAGAGATAACAAGAGATGAGAAATTTAATTCTGTTTTAGTTCAGGATTAGCCATATGAGAACGCCTTTCTTTTCCTTGTTTAAGGTTCTTTTAGAAGCACAAGATATGGCAGTGAGAGACCACAATGTGGAATTCAGATCCAATTTATATATAGGTAAGATTTTTAATATTCTTAGCATTAAAAGTGTCTTTCAGTGCTGATGCCATATTCCCTATCTAATGACAGTCTTTGATATCTAACTACTTAGGTTGCTTTGACAGTGAAAATTGCTGCCAGTGGCTTATTCTTAAACCTTAAACATATCGATGCTAATCTGTTATAAGTAATATTAACTACTGTTTTATTCTTGCTTGTTCTGAATGAGACTAGATCATGAAATCTCTTGCCAATAATTATTAAATAACCCATTTCAAGATGGGTACTAGCATGATCGTTTAATCATACAAAAACTAAGAAAGAACATAGGTGATTAAAAAAAACCATTAAATTCTTTGTCGACTGGAAGGCAGTGAGTATAATTACATGTGGACTTAAAATATCTTTATATGTACCATGCCAGGTTCCTAAGCCATAAAAGTGTCTATAATTTAACCTTCAAGTTATCAGGATGGAAAATCTCTTGAACTGTCAAAGCCAAGGGAACTTGGAAGGTTCACTTGACCCAGATGTTTGTATCCCTTTGTTATTATGTCCTAAACCATTATCGCTGCTTTTATGTGTTTGTTCCACATCAAATTCGATAAGTGTAGATGGAAATGTTTGGGAAGCGTGATGTGCTATACAAATAAATGTAGGGGATTCTTTGCAGCATACCTTCACATAGCTCTTGTCTTATGAGGAGATCAATAGTTATGACAGAGCCATGGTAAAATGGACACTAGCTGGACTTATTTTTTTCCTTTCAGTTCAGCAGCAGTTACTTCTGACATCAGCAGTTTTCTAATCAAAGATGTTGCTCTTGAGGCAGAATTTTCTTCATCTGTCAAACCTACGTATCAAAGAAGGATTATTTTATCTAAAGATATTCTAATTCAGATCCTGGGAACTGTTATTCTTCAGAAATTGGAGGGTTGGATGGGGCTGATACATTACAGGTGGAATTAGTTGTACTTTTAATTTTTCCAGCAATTAGATTAAAAAGAAATAATCTAAAATGTACTATGTCACATAATCTTTGCCCTACTGGAGATATTTTGCTTAAGTTAAAAAATCTCATCTCTGCTTACCCTAGAATTAATGCCAGCAACCACACCTCCTCCTTAAATTCAAATTAGTTATGGTTTTCAATTGAAATGTCTTACTTTAAAGCTGACTTCTTTATAACTAATTTTATTCTGATACATGCACAAATGTAGAGGGAAATCAAATTGGCAACTCAGAAGATGCAGGGCCACAGTAGTTCAAAATCATGAGCATTTTCTTCTGGAAGCAGCGTGCATAAATACTAGGAAAGAGCCCAGAATTATTAGATGGGATGAAAAGGATAAGGAGTCAACCCATTTGCTTAAAACCTTGGTGACCTTTTCTGCTCTATGATTCTGAATATCAAATCAAATTTAATTAATTTTATTCAATTTCATAGGGATATGAGATACTTAGCAGTTAGACTTTGTAATGGATTCAGATACAAATGAAATTGGGATTGTCTTTAAATCTTTTTCACAAACTTTCTTTAAATCCTTTTCAATAATTATAGTAAAGAGAGTCTCAGTAATTATGGTAAAGAGAGAGAGGGAGGGAGGGGAAAAGATAGGCAGGGGAGAGAGGGGTGCGCTGAGGAGCTTAAGTGAAAGAGCAAAGTCCAGTGTTGCCTTTAAGCAAAAATATACTTTACCAGTCCTATACAGATGGGCCTTTAATTCTGCTGAAAATCTCTGCCCCACCTACAGTCTGTTGAGTTTTGTGTATAAATAATTTTTCTTCAATAGGATTAAGAAGTTTGGATTTGTCTTAAAATTTTAAAAATTTATTAAGTCTTTTGATATGCCTACTTCCATAATCAAGAGATGAATACCCTCAGGCAGATGAAATATCTTTTTTCCATGTCATGTAGACATTCTATCACTATTTTTTGCCAAACTTATTAATAAGAATCCTATGAGGTTCTTACATACTCAGACCTTGCCACAATCCTACTGAACCAGAAACCCTAGGGGGCAGACTTGGGAAACTTTAATAAGCACCCTAGTGATTTTTATAAAATGTGGGAAACCAGTTATTTCATTTTGTTCTTGGAAAGGTATAGTCATGTCATTTCATAGATTTCTCTTAGAATTTTGAAAGACTAATTACTTATTGGCTGCCATTTTGGTTTATTAATGCTCTTTCAGGGCCCTGAAATAAGTGTACATATTTAAAGGAAAATGCTTTTTTGGTTCTCATTATAAGGTGATTCCTTCAGATGTCTGTCATTGTTCTAAAGCTGATATCTGGTGTTGCACAATTACAGATTTAGAAAGTTCATTTCCTTTTCAAACTTATAATGATGACTAACGACATTGTTAACAGAACTTAACAAGTGGACTGATGTCACTGTGTAGTGATTCATGGCATCTAAAATGATTCACTTTAGAGAAAGTGATCAGCTGCCTTTGTATATCAGTCTTCTGGGATTAGAGTGATGAAATGGGAGTTGGGAGGGCTTCTAATGTTGAAATGTTTAGATTCACATACAATCAAAACATTTACAATATTTTAAATATACCTATTGGGTATTATCTTAGAAGCATAGGTCATTCCCATTTTTGTGATGTTTTAATGTTTTCTTTCATTTAAAAATTATTGAATACTTAAACTGTACATACCACCTACATAATTGGTAATGATAAACCTTATATATCAGTTTAAAACATCTAGCACATGAAATTTTGTTCTTTGACAGTAATATTCTTTTGGAAGGATATATAAGTTCTAAGTTGGAACAAAACCATATATACCATTAGCATTATATGTATTTTGGAAAACTTTGAAACTTGTATCAGAATTTGAGTAAATTTCTAAGGATATAATTATTTAATAATGATATTAATTAGCAGAGGATGATTTTCACAATAATTTCTGTTCTTTGTGGATTTTTTGGCGGTAGTACAAAAGGAATGTAAGTGGTTGAGGAAGAGATTTCTACATATGAAAAATAAGCATTTATAAAGATAGTGTTTGATTTGGGACCTAAAAGAGTAATACAGAGACATGCTATCAGTATGGGTTAGAGTAGTCATGGATATTTTCCAGGAAAGTTTGGCCTTTGTGGGTAGGTTTTGGGAAACTGGAGTAGGGTCTAGGAGAAGAGCATATTTTTAAAGTGGGGTAACCATTTAAGCAAAGGCACATAGACTAGAAGGAGCAGAAATTGTGTGATATAACTATGAGTGGGACAAAGTGAAGGAGGTGGAGTAGATGTAATTGGAAGAGTAGAGTAGGCTAGGCCCAGGTTTCTAGGGGGCTGAACATGGTAGGTTGTGGCATTTGCTTGAAGCTACATTGAAGAGGAATCACAGGAAGTTTTTGGGCAAGAGATTTATGTTATTAAAGTTAAGTTCACTGAGACTGTTAACTATAAACAGTGGTTTTGAAATTGTCCTCAGAGGGGCCTTTGGGATAGGGCCCATGATATCTTGGTCATGTTATACCCTTGGAGCCCATTATTGAGCCTGGTACCCAGTGGGAACTCAGTAAATATTTGTCAAGTGGAGTGGCACCATTGTGAGTCTTTCCCCACCTGTTTCAATGAGAACAGATTCACATGACAGTGGTGTGTATATTGTGCCATTTTAGTTGCAGTGGTTCCATAACAAAGGCAGTTTGAAACCCCTAACATAGAGGATTGGTAGAGGAGAGATTAGTCAGCTTTTCATTACTGTAAGAAACATCTGAGACCAGTCAGTTTAAAAAGAGGAAAGTTTAATTTTAGTTATAGTTTTGGAGGTTTTAGGCCATGGTCATCAGGCCATGACCCTATTGCTTTTTGGCCACTTGTAAACCTGCACATCATGGTATCAGCATGTGGTGAAACCTTTTACCTCAGGGCTGGAGGTGAAGAAAGAATGAGACAGGTTCCTGCAGTACCTTCAAGGGCACACCCCCAATGACCGGAAAACCTCCCTCTGGGCTTCATCTCCCAAAGTTTCTGTCACCTCCCAAGAGCACCAAACTGGGGACTAATCCTTAAACATGCATGGGCTTTTGGGGGACATTCCAGATCTAAACCATAGCAGTGGCTGTTGTGAGCATTCCTGTTACTGGATAATAAAGAATATTGGCTTTTCAGAAGAATTTGATTTAGGGCTGGGGATGTGGCTCAAGCGGTAGCGCGCTCGCCTGGCATGCATGCGGCCCGGGTTCGATCCTCAGTGATGTTGTGTCTGCCGAGAACTAAAAAATAGATATTAAAAAAATTCTCTCTCTCTCTCTCTCTCTCCCCCACTCTCTCTTAAAAAAAAAAAAAGGCATTGTGTCTCTTGTGTGGTTATTTAAAAAAAAAAAAAGAATTTGTTTTGACACAAAGAAATGATGGCATTGTGTGGTGAAAGATGGGTAGGTGACCTTTCATGGCTTTGTGATGGAATCATGGCTGGTACTTGGCAGGTATTGTGTTTCTGTTCTTGTGCAGACCTGCTCTGAAGTTTGTGCTTGTGGGGAGATGGAAGGAAAATGGGAGTTTAAACATCTGTAGGGTTGATCATTGTATTTTGATGGATTGTATAGTGTGCGCAGTTGACTAGTTTCAGTGCTTCTTCGATATAGTTGTGTTCCTTATCTTCAGTGTATTTGGAGATTGGTGCTCTCGTAGTTGCAGTAGCAGTTTTAGATAGAAGTAGCCATCTTGTTTGTAAAATGCTTTTTAGAAATCTCTTGCTCACTTCTGTTTCACCTTTCTTATTTGTAGGTTTCTACCAGGCAGGTTGATCCAGGGAACCTAGTGCTTACTCAAAGTGTGTAAGGCTGCTATTTTTGTTGTTTGTTTTTAAATATGTTCTAATTAATTACACATGACAGTAAAAAATGCACTTGACATGTCCTACATAAATGGAGTATAACTTCTCATTCTTCTGGTTGTACATGATGTAGAATCACACCGATCATATAGTCATATATGTACATACAGTAATAATGTCCAGTTCATTCTACTGTTCTTCCTACCGCCATACCCCTTCTCCCTTTACTCCCTCTGTCTAATCCAAAGAACCTCTATTCTTCCCTAGTCCCCCACACCCTTATTGTGAGTTAGCATCCACTTATCAGAGAAAACATTTGGCTTTTAGTTTTTTGGGATTGGCTTTTTTTCATGTAGAATGATATTCTCTAGCTCCATCCATTTACTGGCAAATGCCATAATTTCATTCTTTTTTTTTAAGGCTGAGTAAATACTCCATTGTGTATATGTACCACACTTTATCCATTCATATGTTGAAGGGCACCTTGGTTGGTTCCACAGTTCAGCTATTGTTGAATTGAAGTCCTATAAACATTGATGAGGCTGTTATCACTGTAGTATGCTCATTTTATATTCTTTGGATATAAACTGAGGAGTGGAATAGCTGGGTCAAATGGTGGGTCCATTTCAAGTTTTCTGAGGAATCTCCATATTGCTTTCCAGAGTGGCTGCACTAATTTGCAGTCCTATCAGCAAGGTATGAATGTACCTTTTGCCCCACATCCTTGCCAACACTTATTGTTGCTTGTATTTTTGGAGTGAGATGATGAGTGGAGTGAGATGATGAAGTCTTAGAGTAGTTTTGATTTGAATTTCTCTAATTGCTAGAGATGTGGAACATTTTTTCATATACTTATTGACTGATTGTATTCCTTCTCCTGTAAAGTGCCCATTCAGTTCCTTAGCTCATTTATTGATTGGGTTATTTCTTTTTTTTGTCTTTATTTTGTTTATTTATTTTTATGTGGTGCTGAGGATCAAACCCAGGGTCTCACATGTGAGAGGCGAGTGCTCTACCCATGAGCCACAACCCCAGCCCCCTGATTGAGTTATTTAAAAAAATTTTTTGGTCTTAAGTTTTTTGATTTCTTTATATATCCTGGAGATTAATGCTCTATCTGAGGTGCATGTGGTAAAGATTTTCTCCCATTCTGTAGGCTCTCTTCAGGTTGTTGATTGTTTCCTTTGCTGAGAAGAAGCTTCTTAGTTTGATTCCATCCCATTTATTGAATTTTGATTTTATTTCTCGCACTTTAGGAATCTTGTTAAGAAAATCAGTTCCTAAGCTGGTAGGGTGAAGATTTGGACCTACTTTTTCTACTATTAGGTGCAGGGTCTCTGTTCTCGTGCCTGAGTCTTTGATCTACTTTAAGTTTTGATTGTGCATGGTAAGAGATAGGGGTTTAATTTCATTTTGCTACATGTGGATTTCCAGTTTTCCCATCACCAGTTGTCGAAGAGGCTGTTTTTTCTGCAATGTATATTTTTGGCACCTTTGTCTAGTATGAGATAACTGTGTTTATGTGGGTTTGTTTCTGTGTCTTCTATTCTGTACCATTGGCCAAGTGTCAGTTTTGGTGCCAATACCATACCGTTTTTGTCATTATGGCTCTGTAGCGTAGTGTAAAGTCTGGTGGTGTTATGCCTCCTGCTTCACTCATCTTGCAAAGGATTTCTTTGGCTCTTTGAGTCTCTTATTTTTCCAAATGAATTTCATGAAGCTGTTTTCTTTCTGAAAATTCTTACTAATGTTTTCAGTGCTGAGTAGATGGAGTTGGTGTAAAGGCAGTGACACTTCCCTGAGACCCTAGGCAGCTTTCTTAATCACTTTCATCCTTAGCTTTCTCTCTGGCAAAGCTCGGAGGAACCCACTCCAGAACAGGGTGTTGTGGTTACAGGGTTGTCCATATTACTTAGATATGGTCCTTGTATTTATAAAGTTAGATTACAGTAAGAATGTAGGAATACCAAGTGTTGAAATGGATGGGTTGATATACATTCTGTAAAATTTACTTTCTTAAAAGGCTTATTAACTCAAAAAGTAACTGACTAAATATATTTAGGAAATAGTAGAAGGTGGCTACTACTAAGAGTGAACAAGTGATCAATCTCTTACGTACTATTTAAAAGATTTCTTCAGAATTCCGAGGTTAGACTTTGATAGGCCACATGACAGAGGGGAGCTGAGGGTGAGGTTGTGCTGTCCACATTCCTAAAACTGGCTGTGAATCAAAATTTCAGATGGGAGTATTTGCTAGGGATTTGATTTCGAAGACCCACTTTAAATATACTAAATTAGAATCCCCAGAGATGGGGGTATCAGTGTCATATTTTAAATGTGTTCCCTAGGTTAGTCTGGTGTAGTCTTAGGGGCAAATTTGGGAACCCCTGGCTCCAGTGGCTTGTCATCACAAGTATAGAAGAATCAATTAGAACTCTTGACCCCAGCTTGCAGGGCCCTGCGTAACCTGTCCCTGTCTTCATCTCGGATTCCTTTCTCTTTTTTGTGCCACACTTACCCTTGCTTAATATAGTTTAGCATGCTGGTCTTTTTTTCTTCCTAAAACAAGCCAAGTACATTCCTTCCAAATGTTCCCTCTGCCTGGAATACTTTCTCCTTAGACATTTGCTGGAATGACTCATTCTCACCTTAGATCAAATGTTTCTTCCTCAGGGATGCCTCTTGACATCCTCAATGTGAAGTTGCCCCCACCATTGCATCAATCTCTTTCACATCTCTGATTTAATTAATTCATTGTACTTGCCACCAACCAGAATGACTGTGTTTTCCCCCTCCAGAATGTGAGTGGTGTGGAGGTAGGGGCCTTACCTTATCTTGTTTCTTCAGCACCTAAAATAGTGCTTGGCCCTTGGTGCTCAGGAAGTACTTGTGTAGAGATGAGCCTACTTCAGCCAGCCAGTGAGGCTCATGTAATGAATGCTAGGATCTAGGTGAGGAAAGGTCACGAGTTGCTCCACTGATCAAGCTGTGGTCTTGTGGGGAGCAGTCATTTCCTGTAACTCTTCTTTTTCCTCCCTTGTAGCTCAGTCCACCTCAGGGCGAGGCCAGTGCCTGAAACGCATCCGTTACCATGGCAGGGGTCGCTGTGGGATCATGGAGAAGGTTTATTGCCATTATTTTGTGAAGCTGGTGGAAGGACCCCCACCTCCACCTGAGGCACCGAAGACAGCAGTCGCCCATGCCAAGGAGTACATTCAGGAGCTTCGCAACCGGACCATCATTCACACTCTGTGATGGTGAAATTCAGACTCCACAGTGTATATATTTTGTCGTTTATTTTTTAAAAATAAAAATTAAATACAACTGCTTTTTACGATTTGTCGTGGAATTATTGAAACATGGTATATAACTGCATATTTTATATGAATATTTATAAGGTCTTGCCCATCTCTCTTGAGCCTCTGGGTATGTTTTGTGCATTTGGAAGCTCGAAGGGGAAGTTAGCTTTCAACTTCAGTCGCAGACTGTATTTCAGAAGGGTTTCTGAGTGTCTTTTGAAGGGAATATTAGCTTTTCAACCAGTGTCCTGCAGATGGCAGCTTCTGTACAGGGATTGAATAGAATGTTCTAAGAAGCTCGTCCTAATTCACTTGATTTCCCCTTGGGGCCAGGGGAGGGTGTCTTGGGGTAAGTGTGGCTGCATGGTGCTTCTTTACAGTATTTTAGGGCACTTTCAGCAGTTCTGTTTTCCTTTCACCCTCAGTGTAGACTGGTGTGGGAATGATTATATATTCCTTTACTGTTCTAGCAGTAACTTTAAATTAGAGGAGTTAAGTATACTAATTGAAAACTCCATAAACTCTTCAAATTTCAAGCTTGTTTAAATAAAGCCCATTTCCCTCTCCTAGCAACAGTACTTTGGATATCTTGTTCAAGACTGATTTATTTTTCAAGGTGAATTCAATTGCCGAGAGGGGACTTGAAGCAACCTCAGCATTGCATTCTAAAATGAAACAGTAGGTGGCACTCACTCACCTCCTTTTTAGCAGAAAATTGATCTTATCAGATTAAAATGTTCAGCACTACCTGGTTTCCTTTGATATGCATGTTTTCATTGACAAGAGTCACTCTTTGTCCATAGCTATGTGGATAATGTATCTCATACTTTTGTAGGCAGAGAAAGGTTCTAAGGTGCTTGCTTGTTAATGCAGACTTGTGGGCCCTACTCCCGTGATTCTGATTCATTAGGTCTTGTGGAGGGGCTAGTTCCAGAAATCTATGTTTTAAACAGGCACTTCCAGGCAATTCTGTTTTAGGGAACTACGTTCTGAGAACACGCCTGTAGGAGAACGAAGAATGTAGTTTAGTGCCATTTGGAATCAGTACTAGCTAGTACTTACTGCAATTCCTTTATTGGCCAAGCACTGTGCTAGTTTTGTAGTAACTCTTCACAACATTCTGCAAACCTAATATTGTTTTGCCACTTTATAAAGGAAGAAACCAAAGCATACAAATAACAGAGTCACACAGTGTGTGTATTATGTGTGTGTGTATATATATAATTTTAAGTCACAGCACCTATATATATATATATATATATATTAGTAACAGCATATATATATGTACTGTGACTTAAATTAGGTTTCCAAAGAACCTGGCTCTGCATTCCTAACAAAAGCTGGGTTTTTGTTTCTCTCCAGTTAAAGTAAAAGGCTTCAGGGCTCAATGGAAGAAGCCAAAGTTTAGGGTGGACTCCCTCTGGATCCTGAGCCTTACAGTATGGAGTCATGGAAATAACACTGGTGTGTAAAGGCCAGTCTTCATTCTAGTCCTTGGGTGTTCCTTACCTACAAAGAAGATCCTCAGCAAGTCCTTTCCCTGCTGGTCTCCATTTCGCTCATCTATAAAACGAAACTTAGTGTTCTCTGAGGAATTACTTGAAGAATTTGTTAAAAAATGCAAATTCCTGGGTTGTGCTCTGAAACTAAGTGAATCAGAGTCTCTGGTGTGGGAGACCAGGAAACACCTGTCCCAGTGGTTTGCTTGTTGAAAGACTGGGCCAGAGGATCCCTGTTCTGTTTCAGCATAGGTACTCCATGATTCTCAGCCTTGGAGCTTAGAGTTCCTCAGATTTGACTGAAATAAACCAGATGGTGGTGTGAATGCCATAACTGTAAATTATGTAAATGAAAGTACTGCTTCAGTAAGGCTATGAAAGCTGTTTTGAAAAAGGTAGGGGAAAAATTGAGCTTTTTTTTTTTTTTTTTTTTTTTGGTGCTAGGGATTGCATGATAAGCACATGCTCTACCACTGAGCTTCACTCCCAGACCTCTCACCCTGGATTCTAATGAAGAAAATTTGTTTGTGATTTAAGGTTAAAGCCTTAGATTTTGGAACTACTGTGGTGTGTTTTGAAGTATTTATAGCTAACGTAGCATTTACCATGTATGTGGTGCCATTTTAAGCACCTTATGTGTATTGTCTCAGTGGACTTTTCCCATTGTGACTGTGATGTGGTAGAAAACATCTGGTGAGTTTCCATGGCTGAGCATGTACTGACTGACATAAAAGAGCGTTGTGGTCCCCAGTCGAAGTTTAACTTTATTTTTCAGAACTGATGCCCAATATTCTTGATTAATGTCAGTCACTGAATCCTTGTAATTTCCTTTATCAAAAAATTTTGACAGACTTAAACTTTTGTTGCTTGAGTGGGTCACATTCAGAAGCACACAGACCCCACAAGCATACAATTCAACCAGTGTTCAGCTGGTGAAGGAAGGTGCCCATGTAACCTCCACTAGGTCAGAAAAGAACATTCATAGCGACTCTGGTACCCTTCCTGCCCCCTCTAGGCACTGCCCACTCTCTGTTCCCCAAAGGTAACTCTCTGCTCCCCAAATATACATACCCGGTTATTCTAACCGGGTATGTATATTTTTCTGAGTTGTCAGCTTTTTTTTTTCTTCAACTTGGCAAAATTCATTGGAAAATCATCATACCTGTTGTGCTGAGGTATAGCCAGTGAACAGAGTAAAGCTGACCACTGCCCAGTGGAGCTCACACTGTGATGGAAAAGACTGTAAATCTGTCATAGCAAGTGTTTGCTGTGTTGCATACGAATATGAAGGGATCAGAGACAGGGGAGCAGACTTAACTGGTGATCTGGAAAACAGTTTTTTGTTGTTCGTTTGTTACTTGAAGAGATGCAATAAGAGGCAAGGGTCAAAACAGCCAATGTGTGAATCAGTGAAGAGTTATATTGACTGGAAAGATTTTGCTGTTCAGCGTATGAACATAATGCTCATTTCTTTCCTTCACAAGATATAGGATATAGTATGGTGTATATACTATTTTTGTAGCTTAGTTGGATTCAGCAAATTTTATAAGGTTTAAATCCCAGAGAAAGTCAGGTGAAATGTACCACAAACATTGCAAGTAAAATGAATGTGTTTATCTGACAGTTAAGAGAAATTAGATCTTTTCCATTCATTTTGTTTTAACCCAGGCTGCAAAAACAGTTTAGTTGTTTACAAGGGCCTCAATCACATGTAGTTTTAAGATGAAATGTTTTTGGAGCATGTGAGTATCTAGACAGATTCCTAAGCAGGAGAAGGGACACAGGTGACATGACATTAAGAAAACTGGCACCTCTTAGGCCTCTGTTCCTGGTGTAACTGTCCAGGATCAGATTTCTTTTTGAAAGGTCTATGCTTTATTCTTATATTAAACCAACCTAGTGTGAATTCTCTTAATGTATAATTTAGAGCCAGATGCAATGGTGCACGCCCGTAATCTCAGCTACTGAGGCAGGAGAATTGCAATTTCTAGGCCAGCCTTGGTGATTTAGTTAGAACTTGTCTCAAAAAATGAAAAGAAGTGAGCACTGAGCTTTATAGTTCAGTGTTGGTGTGGGAGGCCCTGGCATCAATCTCCAGTCATGAGGGGGAAAGTATAATTTTAGGATATGTCTATTACAGTGGTCTAAATAGTTTGAATAAAAGAGGAAATACTGGTAGATGAATTTTACTTGTATACTAAATTTTTTTTCTTTTATTGCTTCTTCATTAGAGATTTGAATGAACAAATCATTGTTATTTCACTTTGGAAAGCAAGGAATGGCAACATGGAAAATCTAAAAAAAAATTGTTAAAATGAACTGACTGTTATTTAATGTAAATGTGGAGAAACATTCTGCAATCAATTTGAGAAAATTTCTAAACCTCTTAAAGGTCCACCCAAAGGACTTAAAAAGAGCATACTATAGGGACACAGCCACATCAATGTTTATAGCAGCACAATTCACAATAGCTCAACTGTGGAACCAACCTAGATGTCCTTCAGTAGATGAATGGATTAAAACATATACACACACACACACACACACACACAGACACACACTGGAATATTACTCAGCAATAAAAGAGAATAAAATCATGGTATTTGGAGTTAGAGGAGATAATGCTAAATGAAGTTAGCCAATCCCCAAAAACCAAATGCTGAATGTTTTCTCTGATTTAAGGAGGCTCATTCATAGTGGGGTAGGGAGAGGGAGTATGGGAGGAATAGAGGAACTCTAGATAGGGCAGAGGGGGGGGGGGGGGGGAAGGGTATGAATACACGAATTTGTGTGAATATACTTTGTATACAACCAGAGATATGAAAAATTTTGCTCTATATGTGTAATAAATATTGTAATGCATTCCGCTGTCATATATAAATAAAAGATCATTTATAAATTCCAGGTGCCCGTGGTGGACCCTACAGTAAATAGTTGTGATTTTAATGATTTAAGTGTGTCTAGCCATAGTTCTTCACTCCTCCCTATGACCTTGCTCTTTGCACTGACTTTGCAGCTGCTCTGGAGGAAAGAGTCTTTGAATCTGGGCTGGCTTTGTGACTTCTTTAGCTTTGCATTAGGAGTAATGGTTGCCAGGTTTAAGTCTTGGCTTAAGAGACTTTGCTTGTTTCCTCTTTCTTGGGTCTCTGTTTCTGCTGTGTAAATATGCCAAGGCTCCCCTGCTAGAGGATGGGAGACCACATGGAAGAGAATAGTGGGTCCCTGGCTGAGAGCCAGCCAGCCCCTCAGTGGCAGAGAGGCCGGCCTATGGGACCAGAATTGATTACAGAAACGTGAAAATCCCAGTTGAGGCTAGAACTCTCCCACTCCCTGCCATGATGATAGACTCATGAACAATAGTAACAGCTTATCGTTTAAGCTGCAGAGATTTGAGGTGGTTTGATAAACAGTAATTTACTCTGGTAAATATTTCAAAGTTTGTACCCTACAGAAATAGTCTGTCCTTTTCAAATGACTGTAAGAGTCTATAAAATTGATCCAAAGCTTATCTCACAGAGAGTCATCCAAATTTAGGTAGGCAACTTTTAAAATTTATATTGTCCTAAAAATAGAAAGTTGTTCTGTTTTAATAAAGTTTAAACATTATTCAAGCTGTTGGATAATAGAACTCTCCTTACTCTTGGTTCTTTGGAGGACAATCATTGAAATGCCCAGACCTGTGAAACCAATCAAGAAATACAAATGAAAAAATTAGGAGTGGGAAAAGGGCACACAGAGAAGATTATGACTCCTGTGTTGGAATGTGCTGGATCATTATTGTCAGCTTGGCTGACCTGGAAGTACATTTCCCAGAACCCCCTTTCCTATTTTGTTTTGGATTAGAGTTGGCCAAAAGATGAACTAGAGTAAGAGCGAGCAGTTGGAAGTGATGCTCTAGCTATCGCTGTGGCATCCTGCTATCTAATATAGTGGTGCCTCAAAGACCCCAAAGCAGCAAGTGTCTGTGTTGCGTCCAGCCCAGTTATGCCAGGGCAGTGGGGTAGGTCGCAGACAAGCCAAGGAAAGTGCCCAGAGACAGTATGGTAATCATCGTGGAGAGGTAAGCTTATAAGAGGCCAGCGACTGCTCCAGTGGGCGTTCAGTGCAGAGGCTGACAGCATCTGAGCTCTGCCAGGCACCACCGCTTCTCCCTCATTGTGCTCTGATCAGTGGCAGCTGACTGGATGAGTGTCACATGTCCTTTCCACAGTGCCCTCAGTTTTACAACTGTCCCCAGGAGTTTTATATGTTAGGCCTCAGAAGACGTGGCATCATCAGCATTATCTTGCTCGGTTTGCTTTTTTAATTTTTAGTTGTAGATAGATACAATACTTTTATTTTATGTATTTATTTTTATGTGGTGCTGAGGCTTGAACCCAGTGCCTCACACATGCTAGGCAAGCACTCTACCACTAAGTCACAACCCCAGACCTCCGTTTGCTTTTTATTTTATTTTTTATTCTTCCTCCTTTCCCAAGGTTTCTTTGGCTTTGCAAAATTGGCAGCCTCAGGTTATTCTTATAGACTTTATCAAGTCTCCCATTAATCCCAACCCATAATATCAACGTCTACATTTAAATATTGAGCTCTACCTATATATGTAAATTTAGAAAATATATGCACACGTATATACAGATATATGTGTATATATAAATTTTATATATAAAAAATAGATAAGGTTTTATATATAAGACCTAGACACACATATATATGTATGTGTATATATGTATTTCCATCCCCAAGAAAACTAAATGATGACTCACTCATTGATGAGCTCAGAAGTCACTGTGTACCACATTTTTAAAGTAATGGAGCTAGGGTGCAATCACTTGGCACATGGTACCCTTTGGCATACTTCAGTTTGCTTTTTTGACAGCTTCCAAGGAGCAAGAAAATCTCTTCCTACAGATGACACTAATTTGCCCTAGTTACCAGCATAAGAGAAAGCCATTGTCCTTTAACATTACGGGTGCTTGGACTTAAGCACAGGCTTGCTCTCATTGTTCCCTTAACTTGGCTGGGTTGTGGAGAACAGAAAGGGAGCATTCAGGGACATGATGTTACACTGTCCCCCTTTGTTTTAGGGGTGACACAGCATCCCATTCCAGTATCTTCTAAGAGTAATCTAAGATAAAGTGAATTAATAAGGAATAATAAATAGCTCAAAGAATTGATGAGAGGGCCCAAGAACTTGGCTTTAAAGCTGCATAGCCGGAGCACAACCCTCCTTCCCCACAATGGGACAGTTCTAGAGAAAATGTCACCCATGATGCTGTGGACTTGATACCAGGATTCTGCCATAGCTGCACAAAAGGACCCCTGCATTGTCTTGCTGGAATGTACTGTCTCCTGGTCTGTGATGACCTAATTTTGTTCTCCTCCCATGTTTGAAACTTGGATAAGTAATTGTTATATATCACCTGTGGCTGAACCTTAGCTAGAAAGTACCTTTTAGTTTTTTAGTCTTTTTTTTTTTTTTTTTTTGTACCGGGGATTGAACTCACAGGTGTTCAACCACTGAGCCAATCCCCAGCCCTTTTTGTATTTTATTTAGAGACAAGGTCTCATTGAGTTGCTTAGGGCCTTGCTAAGTTGCTGAGGCTGGCTTTGAACTCAAATCCTGCCTCAGCCTCACAAGTTGCTGGGATTACACACATGCATCACCACTGTGTCTGGCTAGTATTTTAGTTTTATAAGCATGCCAGTATCCTCCAGCCAGGGATATCCTTCTGCATGAGTGCAACTGTAGTTGAGCCAGTTTGCTTTATTGGTGGGGAGAATATACATCATGAGGAGTTGGGGTTTGGGGTATCTTATTGAGAGGGCATTAGAACCGATGGCCAGATTTGGGCATTGTTTGGGTGATTTGTGGAGAGTCTAAGGAAGCAGGGGTTCATTCTGGATTGAATGCTGTCAAAAATGGGGCAAATTCTATTGACTTATTTCAAATTGAAGGGGCTTGTTGAATAGGCTAATTTATCCTATCTTCTGCAAGTCATATTACATTTAATGAAGAAGCTCTGGTGTTACGCTGAAGTCAGGTACAGTATGCCCGCTGTCCACAATCATTTAATATTTTCTGAAAGTTCAGACAAAGCAGTAAAGCAAACGAAATAAGGAAAAAAAAATCTTTGGAAAGGAAGAAACAAGTTTTTACTTGCATATAATTGTCTACCTAGCAACCCACGAAAACCAACAGAAAAATTATTAGAAGGAGAATTTAGTAGGACAATTAGTTATAAAATCAATGTGTAGAAATTGAAGCTTATCTTTTAAAATCAATAATCAGCAAAAAGCACAATTTTAAGAAGGCATTAAAATAAGAGATGAAAATATCTAGGAATAAACAAACATAAGTGAAAGCCTGTATAAGTAAAACTGTAAAGCCTTATCGGGGAGCTTGAAGGAAAGCTTGACTATATGATAAGGTGTAGGGCACTTGTGGGTGGGATAACTCAGTAATTATGTCATTTCAGGTGTAATAAAAACCTCTATATGTGTATATGTATGTGTATGTGTTTGTTTATTTGTTTATTTATTTTTGTACCAGGGATTGAACCCAGGGACACTTAACTACTGAGCCACATCCCCGGCCCTTTTTATTTTTAATTTTGAGACAGGAATGCACTAAGTTTCTGAGGCTGGTCTTGAACTTGTGATCCTCCTACCTCAGCTTCCTGAGTCATTGGGATTACAGGCAGGTATCACTGCTTCTGGTTAGATGGCATATT